GCACCAAGTCTCCAGAAGAATGTATTCATTTTGTATCACAAATATGTACTAATAAATTTTTAATTAAAAATAGACATAAGAAAAAAGAAAATTATATTAATTATTATATTAATCACATACCAAATAATATTTTTTTCTCTATATATGTGCTGTATAAAGTATGTATGAGTTTAAACACATCTTCTTTTTCAATCATTTGTCATTTTTTTATTGTGAAAAAATTTAAACTATGTTTTATAGATTTCTGAAATATAGAGTAGATCATGTTCATGCTTAGTGACTATTCTATACAGTTGCCCATCAGAACACATCAACATGGATGAATTATTTCACATAGTGAAAAAAGCTAGGTGCACAATAATTAATTAATAACTGTATGATTTCATTCATATGTTGATTTTACACAGTTGATATCATACAAAGGGAACAGAATAGTGATTAAAAGCAGCTGCAATTGTGTAGGGGAATTATTGAGCAAAGGATACAAAATTCCAGTTAGATATGATAAAGAATTTCAATGAATTGTACATCTTGTTATTTGCAGTTCATGAAGGTATACTGTATTCTTGAAAAATTCTAATTCAATGTTAGTTAAATGTTCTCTAAAACGATAACTAGCTGAAGTAAGATAGATGATAAATTTTGCTGACTTATTGATTTCAATTTTATTAGCCTTCCAAATATATATTGTACATAAAAACATACAATTTTATTCGACAATTTAAAGTAGAAATCTTAAAAATAAAATATTGTCAAAAAAAAATGTAAGAATTGTTTCTTCACATCTTTGTGGTCATATACTCATCCATAAAATATCTAATTGTACTTCAAAGACTTTCTTGGGATTGCTTTACATGAAGAAATCACACATTGGTTAGATTAAACCCTGTATTAGGAAAACAAATTAAAGGAAGTTTCTCCTTTGAGGAAATAAGTGTATCTCTTTTCAGGTTCCCTCAAAAAACAAAACATTTTTTCAAATATTTTGCATAGGAAAAGACTTTATGAACAAATCCTCAGTAGCATGGGAACAAGCAGAAAAAAGTCAACAACTGGGATCTCATCTTATTAAAAACTTCTGTACTGCAAAAGAAACAATCTACAAAATTAAAAGACAACCTACAAGGTGGGAAAAAAATTTTACCAGCTGCTCCTCAGACAAAGGACTATTATCTAGAATATATAAAGAACTCAAAACAAACAGCTCCCCCAAATATAAAGACCCAATTCAAAAATGGGCACCTGAAATGAACAGACATTTCTCAAAGAAGCAAAAGCATCAAGTAAATATATGAAAAAATATTCCACATCACTTGTCATTCGAGAGATGCAGATGAAAACAACACTGTGATTCCACCTCACCCCACAAAGAATGGCTGCAATCAAGAAATCAACCAATAAAAAATGTTGGCGGGGTTGTGGGGAGAAAGAAACCCTTCTCCATTGTTGGTGGGAGTGCAGACTGGGCAACCACTGTGGAAATCAATATGGACATACCTCAAAGAGCTTGGACTGGAGGTTCCAATTGACCCAGCCATCCCTCTGCCTGGTATCTTTCCAAAAGAACTAAAAGAATCTTATCACAGAGAAGTCTGTGCACCCATGTTTATAGCAGCACAGTTTGTAATAGCTAAATCTTGGAAACAGCCCATTTGCCCATCCGTTGGAAACTGGATAAAGAAGATGTGGTTTTTCTATAAAATGGAATATTACTCAGCCATCAAGAATGAGAAAATAGATTCATTCATAGGAAAATGGATACATATTGAAGATATACTCCTAAGTGAAATAAATAAGTCACACATGTGTAAATACCAAATGGTTTCCCTGGTGTGAATAATCTGTAACAATGCATAAGATTCTAATAAGATTACTGACATTTAGAAATGGGAAGAAAGGAGCTAAAGGTGTAGGGAAGGTGGGATAGGTAGGGGAAGGGTAAAAAGGGAAAGGAAAAATGTGAGAGACTGAAAAGATGAAAATAAAGTGTTTGTAGATGGGGAGGGGAGGAGGGGGTGAACGGAGGGCAGAGGTAAGGGGAAAAAATGAGAATCAAGACTTGTCATGTAGAGGTACAAGATCCCAACAATGAATGTAACTGTACTGTATCGCTAAAATGTACCAATAAACTCAATTAAAGCTGAAAAAAAATTGACTGAAATTCTTTCACTCTGCTTTCTTTTTGATTTTCAAGGGAGCTGAACTGTTTGGAGACTAGAAAGACCAAGTAACAATTTATTTAATTATGAGCCTTGAGATTCAAATTGTAAGAAGCTAGAGATGGTAAACAAGCCCCTCACTGGTTGCTCCTCATTTGTAACTCTGTGGTCTAACAATTGGGTTTGAGGGCACATATTGGGTACAATAAAAAGTTTCAGTGATAACCACTGGAATGAATCCACGTGTACTTTCCAGGGGAGAAGGAGGTAGAAATAAAATAGAAGACAAGCAGGTGAAGGAAGAAGGAAAAAACAAAAGAGCATGGGCGTATGGCTTCATGTCTAGAGTAATGATATTGAAAAACTTCAGTATATAGTCTATGATGATGAAGTCTCTGTTCTTTGCACTTTGAAGGAACTTTGGCTTTGATCAATATCTGTGGTTTTCATTTACTTGTGCTTCCTTTTTGCACTAGAAATTCAAACTTTTCAAGTTGTATTTTCCTGTCAGATTTCCAATAAAATTATTTATTTTATTGCATACTGAAAGTGAATTAGGCATGAAATATTGTGTAGTTTGCTCTAATTTAATTTGTATTTCTCTATCATAATCCCTAGATAATTCCATAGGCAAATTCCATTTTAATAGCTATTTGTGTGATTTATAATAATTTTAATTTCTCTTAGTGTCTACACTAGCAACTATGAAGTGTTATTGCTGATAATTAATAATTAATTGAACATACTCAAGAAAATATCAAATGATTAAATTTCAAAAGACTGTCTTTGCATTTTTATTATTTCAATAGAAGTGTTGGAGTACTTTAATGCAATATCTCTTATTGGCTACTATTTGAATGAAACCATTCCTTGTGAGTTAGGATGTCATCTTTGGCTTCTTTGTTTATTAACAAATTCCAGCCTAAGTGCTCATCATGTAAATGTACTTTACATGTAATCAAACATATTTTTCTCTTATGATTGTTGTTTAAATTTATATTTATTGATCTTTTTATGAGTTAGGATAATGAAAATTCTTATGTTAATCATAATTCTATTTTTATAATTGGTGTTACTTTGTAATCATGTTATTTTTTTAAAACAGCTGTGGGTGCATTTTTGTAACTTTAATATTCAGCTTGTGCCTGTATGACACCTCATGGTAAGCTGTAAGATTTCTTTTTTATAGTATTGCACACATTTTGGTTGTGATGTATGTACTTATTCAAAACCTACAATAAGAAAGGTACCAAGTAAGCTGCTCCAAGATAAATGTTGGTCCTCTGTTTTCACAACTTACACCTTGGGGTCTGGTAGAAAAATCGCCCACTCTGTTCTCTCAGTCTAAAATGTTTTTTCCTTTCAAATCTCTGCTTATTTCAGAGAGACACTCTTACACATCTTTACTTAATAAACTGGTCCACAATAATATTTTCTGTTTCGTATTATTTAAAAATCTCTAGGCTTTCTTAATACTGACATTTTATGTCATGTAGGATATATACATACTTTGTGAATCATTATTTTGCTTGTTAATGTTCATAGAATAATTCTACATGTATAACTATTTGATATTTTTATCAACTCCATATATATATATATATATATATATATATACATGCCACTTTGATTAAACTATTTTAAATGTACATCCACAGTCAAAAGCATGTACACAGGAAAACATATAAGCACACATGCCTATTATATGATCTTAATGGTGGTGTGCTTTCTTTCTCTTCTGTGTAAATAGTCCACATACATTTTCTTCTAGGAAGAACTCATCAGACAAACATTCTAGCAAAGAAGGAGTTATAAAGATCTTTGTTAATTAGAAATCCATTTGGGGATTAAAATTATAAAAACAAACAGTTCTATTTATAATAATTAAAATTCTATCCATGAGGATTACCACAACTTAAAGAAATGTTGCTAAATGACAGCACTCCAAGAAATAGTTATTGCAATATTAGGAACAGAAATTTACTTCTTTGAAATGGTCATTTTATTAAAAGAAGGAGAAGAAAAACATCATTTATTTAATTTTTCTTTACTCTTACTATGTATTGAACATGTACCATTGCTATCTCAAAGATGTGGTTTTGCAGAGCTTAAATTGCTTTCTCAAGGCCACAGTGTTGTTCTGTGGGTAAGGAGGATTCTATTCCATACAGTGTGACTCAGAATCAAATTTAAAAATTATATTCTTATATAATGTCTTTGCAAAGTTATATATCCAAAATATTTATGGTAAGAAAGGAAGATACTATCTATAGCCAGAATGACATCTGTCATTGTTAGAGGATTTTACTGAGAACAAAGGCCTTTTTAACTGTTGAGCCCAGCGTTTCACTACAAATCACATTTTTCTAAAGAAAAATTGTGGCACTGAGATCTAACTATCACTTTAGTATGAATTGACAAATCATAGAATAAAGGCTGATTCTGAAAACATCACTATCAGATCACTACTGTAGACATAGTACAATGAAAAACTAATGAAATTATCCATGAAAATACATGCAAACACTTCAATTTCTTGGGAAAGTTAATATGACAAAAATGAGTAGATTACATTCATAAATTTTAAAATTAAAACAAGTGAGTCAATTATAAAAATTAAAAGTAAAATTTTAAAGCACTAAGGAGTTGGGATTGAGTATACACAATTAAAATGTAAATGAGCTATCATGTAGCTGAATGATTCACTGCTATTGATCAGACACTTTAGTACGTGGAAGACATCCATCAAAAATGATACTATAAAGAGTTTTCCATGTGAGGTCCAAGGTGACTGATCATTGATTATTGCTTTCTTCTTTCTCCAGAAGACACAGAAGTAACATGAAAGCTGAAAATCACACAGGGGTAGCACAGTTCTTCCTCTTGGGCCTTTCAGATGATCCAGAACTTCAGCCCCTTCTCTTTGAGCTGTTCCTGTCCATGTACCTCGTCACAGTGCTCGGGAACCTGATCATCATCCTGGCCATTATCTCTGACTCCCACCTCCTCACCCCCATGTACTTCTTCCTTGCCAATTTATCCTTTGTGGACATCTGTTTCACCTCCACCACAGCCCCAAAGATGCTGGTGAACATCCAGACACACAAGAAAGGTATTTCCTATATACAGTGCTTATCTCAGGTTTATTTTTTCAACACTTTCCTGGGAATGGATAGGTTTATTTTGACAGTGATGGCCTATGACCACTTTGTGGCCATCTGCCATCCCCTAATATACACACACATTATGAACCCTTGGCTTTGTGGATTCCTTGTTCTGATATCCTGGGTCCTCATGTTATGTGTCTCCCTTATTCATAATCTGATGATGCAGCTCATCTTTTCTACAGGCACTGAAATCCCTCATTTCTTTTGTGAACTGGCTCAGGTTCTCAAGGTGACCAGATCTGATACACTCATCAATAATATCTTTATATATGTGACCACTGTCCTGATAGCTATGTTTCCTGGATCTGGGATCATCTTTTCTTACTCTCAGATTGTCTCCTCCTTGCTGAGGATGTTCTCCACTGCAAGCCGGTATAAAGCCTTTTCCACCTGTGGGTCTCACCTCTGTGTGGTCTTACTGTTCTATGGAACTGCACTTGGAGTTTACCTGAGTTCTGCTGGGAACCATTCTTCCCATGAAAGCTCTGTTGCCTCTGTGATGTACACTGTGGTGACCCCCATGTTGAATCCCTTCATCTACAGCCTGCAGAATGAAGACTGAAAGCTCTGTTGCCTCTGTGATGTACACTGTAGTGACCCCCATGTTGAATCCCTTCATCTATAGCCTGCGGAATGAAGACGTGAAGGGGGCCCTGAGAAGAATTCTCCACAGAGCAGCCTGTGGTTCTTTATGGACCACTGACCTCAGAACCAAGGGGATACTATAAACCCTAAAGAAAATGCTGTGAATTTCAGTATAATTTCTGTCCTAAGTAACATGCTTAATTTCTGGTGTTTCTAAAATACTTCTCCTATGTGTATATTTGTTTTTATGTATTTTTAGATTTGTTTCTCCTCAACAACTCCCTCGGGATTTTCTTTACATTTGCCTTTTAATTTATGGTACACAAAATTTCAAAATTAATAAAAATTCTCATTCATTTCTGAGACTTCTAAATTAATAGAAGTGTGTATCATGGGCAGTCATGACCTTCAAAATAATTGCCTGATGGTGACGTTTTTCACCCCAATATGGTTGTATTCTGCTTTCCTAAATTAAATTACATAAGATTCATCAGAGTCCTTAAGATTATCAGATCTGTACTTTTCAAATATATGACTTTCTTATTAAAAGTTTATATTTGAGATACTTTCACTTATTCTTATACTGTATGACTGTAAATATATGAGATTCAGATGCAAAATAACTGGAAACTTACACAAAGCACATATTCCTACATTTGCTATCTCATGTACTTTGTGCTTAGATAATGTTCAGATTTCCAACATAAAATCAGGAATCTGTTTTGATGTTGTGTCTTTATTTGATTTCAAGTGATATGATGGCAAAGTAACTCTGTGATTGGGAGTAATTTGGGAGAATCTTATTTTTTCTCTGAACTCATTTATTTTCCTTTTTTCCTTCCTAGTTTCCTTCATTCCTTTTGCTCTGCTGCCCTTTTTGTTCCTTCCTGCCACCCTCCTTTCCTATCTCCCTTCCTTTTTTCCTTGATTCTTCATTTCTTTTTTTCCCTTTTATTTTATCTTTCCTGTATTCCTTCATTATCTACTTTCTCCTTTTTTACCTAAATATCTTCCTGTTATTTTTTAACACATTTATTTGGTAGTGTTGACTTTCTCCATTTATTTTTTCAGGTTTAATAATATTCTACTGTGTACACTGCTCAGAGTTTTTATCTATTCATCAGTTGGTGAATATTTTGGTGATTCCCAGCCTTTCACTCTTGTATGTAATGAATACACAAGCCCATTTACAAGTTTGAGCACATTCTCAACTATTACCCAATGATGTTTTACTCAATACTGTACATTTTAGTGTCACATAAAATTATATTGCTTAGCGAAATCCTTTTCATCTTTATTTGTTTAAGTGTACTGTGTATTATTGGCAACAATGACACATATCATCACTAGCGTAGCTCTATTCAGAACCCAACCTCATTGTTTAGAAGTAAATGATTATGCTTGTTTCTAATTACTAAAAATTATACCTAGGAGTGGAACAAATTACTATTTTAGAATTAATTTGGGGGGATTGAATTCAGTCCTTGCATTTTCAAGGCAGGCCACCGAACCGCTGAGCTAAATCCGCGGCCACAAAATTACTGTGATAGAAAGTCACCTTGTACTTAATATCTTCAAAAATGGATAAACACATTTAGCAACCTTGTGTAAAATAATTCTAATATATTGATATACTCATCAATATTTTATATAAATTAAAGCCTATACTGAAGCTGTACCTTATTGTGATTTTGATTTTCAATTTCCATGAATATTTATGCATCTTTTTAAGTACTTTTTGTAGATTCCTTATTTTGTATAACTAATGGCTTCTTCAAGTTTTTGAAAGTGTGAATTTTATGTGATTACTTCTAACCTGTAAGATTTCTTTGTACTTTGTATATATGTGAACCTGATCAGGTATTTGTTTTACAAATATATCAGCTCTCTGTGTTTTTTTAACACTTATTTCAATTATACAACTAATTATTAATTGTATTCATGATAACATATGGTAGATCCCTTGAAGTTATTTCTGTCAGCTGAAATGGTGATTTTGACAAACCCCTCTCTACTCCCTGACCCATCATCTCTGGCAGCCACCTTTTTACTCTCTGTTGTTCTGGTACTGAATATCTCACATTCTACAGGTGAGTTGATGTAGTTTGTCTTTCTATGGATGACTCATTTCTCTTAGCAGAACGTTGTGTAGCCTCATCCGTGTTCAACCAAAAGATTTCCCTCTCTTTACACTGTATTTGTGTTCCATTGGTTTGACTTTTCACCTTTATTTATACATTAGTCTTGTGACAAATCCTTAACCTGATTCCATATCTTGGATATTGTGAATAATTCTGCAATGATTATGGACTGCACATGTGTCTTTATATATTGATGTCAGGTGATTTGTATACATGTGCATAACAGGCATTGCAGGATTAAAAAATAATTCACCAAAAGTCCATGAGGGCTACACTTTTATCAATATTCAAGGTTTCCCAAAAATTCAGAATTACTAGGATATTTTTGAGTAAATGTAGATTGACAGATGATAGGTAAATGGGTGGAAATAGCTAGATAGATGTAGAAATAGTAATGGGAAAACCTTAAACTCATTTTGTTACATATTGCATGAATCAGAAAATGATGATTAGCTGCTCTTGATTTGGACATTGATGGATGTAGAAACCTAAATCTGATGATTTTTCAGTCCTCCAGGATAAAGAACTTTTAGAGTTCAATTAATTATCTTAAAATAAATAAACAGCAGAATAGATGATGTTTCTTATTATTCTGGTATAGACCAGTGGTGTGATAGTTCACCTAACTTTTTAAAATATTGTGAAGATATTTTCACCTCTACATAGTCATGGTAATTATTAATTTTTTTCAAATATTCCACAGAAGTATTTATTTCAATATATGTCCTAAGAAATTTCTAGCAAGTCTATTTGTGATCTCAGAGTCTGCTTTCCAGGGGAAAAAGGTGGCAACAGCATGTACAGGACCATACATGATTTTCAGGAGAAGGAAAGGACTTTCTTTAAGAAGGGAAAAGAAAACTGAAAATTGAGAGTTCAGAATTAGGAATTTTAGGCATAATCTAATCTATCTATCTCCTCATAATGCCATTTATAAAGAAGGTTCAGAATGAGTCATCTCCTTGCCAGTGGGTATTCTTTATTCTGTGATTCACAGATGTATCTTGAGAACTTACAAAGAAAATAGGGTACAGAGGAAGCAAGTTGGGTTCCCAACATGGTGATATACAAAAATTAACTCAAACAAAAGTGGTAGAACACATCTGTAGTGCCAGGTACTCAGTAGACCTAAAGAGGAGGATTATAAGATCAAGGCAAGCCTGGGAGGGAAACTATGCTCCTAATTTTAAACAGTTCATAGGACTACAGAGGTAGCTCAGAAGTGTAGAACTTCCCTAGCATGTGTAAGCACCTGGGTTTATACATAGACATTGTGACATTAACTCAAAAATGAGTTAGCATCCTATATATAATATCAAGAATAAGACAAGAAGGCAGAACATCATTGGTCAAAAGACAAAAACTTCAGCTAGGCCACAGGAATAAGTCAAGAGATCTGCCCATAGTGAAAAGTACAGTTGATCATAAATGTATGTTTGGAAAAAAGTGAAACACAACACACAGATTGGGGAACTTCTTACAGAAACACTTATGTGGTAAGAGCCAAGTAGCCAGAATATATATGAAGAATATTACATGTCAGAAAATCTGTTCAAAGTTTAGAACCTCAAAAGGAGGAAAATCTTGAACACACAGCTCTTCATAACCTTCCAACCATCACCTGGTATTGTTCTCAGTGAGTTAGAAGTGCAAAGCAAAAGCATAAAGAGTTATGATTTCAATACCAATGGGATGGCATATGTTTTCTGATCAGAAAACAGAAGAACTGTCATGGATCTGAAGATGTCAGAACCTTCATAGATGAAAAAATGAAATGTACCAAGGTAGCATTAAAAATCACTGGGTTAAATATAAAATTATCATATGACACAATTATTCCATGTTTTGAGATATCAGTTGACTATTTAAAGACAATATAAATGTGCAATTATAATCAGAGTAGGTTCATGCAAAAGCATTAGAAGGCAATTTCATCATTGTGTGAACACTGTGGCACATATTTATCAAAGCCAAATTGGCTAAAATAGTATAAAACAGTATAATGTTTTGGGAGCACCATCATACATCTTTTACCAGACCATCATTATGCAGCACATTACTTTACTCAAGTAAATAGATGTGCACAAATAGGAGCCCCAGCCTTACTAGTTAAACTTTTGCAATTACCCAAGTATCTATCAGTGTATAAAAGGATAAACAACTTGTGGGGCATACTTACATTAATATACTGAGTCATAGAAATGAACAGAGACAGTTGAAATTATCCAATGACTTGATGGATGATGGATGATGACTAATCCAAGCACTCTTGGAAGCTGAGGGAGGAGGGTTATCACACTAAGGCCTACATTGGAAAATTAGGGACAGGGCAAGATGACCCTGACTCAAAACAAAATTTTAAAAAAGCACTGGGAGAAAAAAATAAAGGAGAAAAGAAAAGAAAAAGTTTGGGGATGTATCTTCATGTAAAGACCCTGGGTTCATTTCCCAGTACTGCCAAATAAATGAACAAATAAACCCACATACAAATAAGTAAATATTAACTAATGAGACATTGAAAAACATAAAAAAAAAGACAGTTCAAATGGAAGGGGTTACAGTTCAGAATCATCTGAGAGGCCGAGGAGGAGAAACTGTGATGCCCCTGTGGGTTTTTCTGTTCCCATGTCACTGACTTTCTGTTTAAGAGGAAGCACAAGCTATTTTCAGCATACAGACAAAACCTCAAGAACCAGCACATCAGAAAAATCACATTTGGATGGGCACCAACCACCCTTCATAAAAGATTCATAGTACAGTGATTCACTTAGCCAAGTTGTAGCTCATTTCCATTTTTACTGTTTGCAATTATTCAAAATGTCTTTAGTATAACAGAAATCTTCCTTGTGTAACACCTTCTAAATTATTTCCTTTTTTATAAAATTATAGATATAAATTAATTTCTTCTTTCTGAAGCCCCTTCTACAATATTGGAATGTGTTCGTTATGTTGTTTTGTTTTGTTTTGTTTGTTTTTTGTTGTTTGGTCCCTGGGATGAAGCA